CCAACATTCCCCCCTCTGAAGAGGTAACCCTAAAATCTTTTGAGGATTGGATACAAGCTTCCAAATACTTTTGACATTTTGGCCTTTGGAATAGAGTATGTTGCTAACAGGCCCAAGGACATTTTGACTTTTAACCAAGAAACTGGCTACATTTCTTTGGGGTCTTTTTACCCTAACTGCCTAGCCAATTCCTACCTCCTATTCCTATCATGCCATGCTCTGAAGGGGTCACCCAAACTGACAATAGGGAATAGGGATGCAGACCGCTGTCAATTTTTATCCATCCCAGTAGTAAACACATAAAATGCATTATGCTGTTTACAGGGTACACATATGAACCTTGGAGCTAGGACACATCATAGAAAGAGCTGTGATCCAGGTCCCAAAACACTGAGTCCACACAACCATGTTCCTGCTATTTGCTAGCTTTGTGGCTTGTAGTAAGAGATGACCTTTTCTAAGGCTCACTTCTCTGTCCTGTAATGAGACAGTAGTATTTAACATAAGGTTACAGAGTTTTGTGGAAAGTGCTTTACTTAGGAAAGTATCCCTATTATAATTAACTACGAGCATTCTGATCCCATTAGGTAAGGTTGGTAGACACCGAATGAGCAATAGCTTATCCAAGGAACTTTCTGCTGCTCTGTTTTAGGCAGGTATCACAAATCATCCCAGTGTCCCAAGAGACTTTACTGGGCTGATTAGGACCTATTGCTATGAAAAAATGATGTAAGATTTAATGGTGGTGGTAGGTGGAGGGAAGGGATTCAATTTGTGCTCTGGCCCATGAGGTGAAGAATCAGAATCAGGTGTAATGGCAAGCTTTGCCAACAGCATTCCTATTCCTGAAGGAGAGGTCAAGCTGCCCGTCTTTAAAGAAATGTCTTCAGAATTCATTAAGGGAGAACACAAAGCAGACAGTCACAGATGAAAATCTCAAAAGGTCATTTAGAAAAAGTCTGTTTTCTTTACCTTTCGACTGTCAGCGACCTTATGCAGCTAATGGTCTGATACTTGACCACGTGTTCAAGCTGGGCTGAAAGGGAAGCCAGTCCAATTAGGCTGGGAGTGAAAACAGGCTGGGGAGAGTGGCTAGAGATGGCAGAGGGACCAAAGGGAAATGTGGTGTGTATCAGGTCAGCTAATTACCCAGCTCCCTGTAATCACCCTGCATAAAGCCACAGCAGGGACTCACAGTGAGTCACACAGAAGGTATAATGAAAGAAACAAGGGCTCTCTCCAAGCTGCTCCCTCATTGTTTGCAGGGAAGAGGCTGAGGGCAGATTCTACGGTATTACGGTACAAAAATGAACTCTGTGTGTGTGCATGCTCATGTTGAAGTATGTGCAGGCAGGATGGGAAAAGCAATTCAGAGGCAACTAAAAGACTGCTCTTCTTCCATTCCTTGACTGTCCACTCAAATTGCAAAGACTTTGCATTACTTTTGGGATTCTCTTAGTTACAGTCAAAAAGTCAAATAAAGCCCTTTCCTGAAGTAAGAACTACAGTTTTACCCAAGTGACCTACTTACTTAAACACACTGGGAATCCACTGGTTAAAAGCAGGGTATGCAAAGGCATAACAGAACAGAACTTATAAGGGCACAAAGTCAGTTTGAGACCCTCAAAATGGAAAGGCATGGAAGGAGGCGAGAAAGAAGGAAGGGAGTGAGGGAGGGAATAAAAGAGAAAGAAAGGAGGGAAAAGTAGATCTGTGCAACTCCTTGAAAGATTTCAAAGTTTCGGGAAACAATTACATGCTTCTGGGTACAAAACCCAGCTCAACCTTCTGAGCTAGGTGACTGTGGATCAGTTAATGATGTATCAGATTTAACTGCATTAAAGAAGGGTATTGACAGCTAACTGTTATGGTGATTGAAATGACATGTTCTCTGGTATGAGAAGAATTCTTGCATGATTTCTTCGCCTTTTTTAAAAAAAATATTTTATTTATTATTTTTATGTGTATGTGTGTGTTGCCTGCATGTAGGTAAGTACACTCGTGTCATGCAATGCCTGTGGAGGACAGAAGAGGCTGTCGGATCCCCTGGAACTGGAGTTACAGACAGTTGTTAGCTGCCATGTGGGTGCTGGGATTCAAACCCGGGTCTTCTGCAAGAATAGCCAGTGTTCTTAACTGCTGAGCCATCTCTCCAGCCCCCATGATTTGTCTTTTAACTCCTCCTTTTTTCATAGTGAGAATTAGCTGCTGTGAGGGTGAGGATGAGGAAGAGGGTGGTGTCCTGAGATACTGCTGACAGTGTGCTGCTCAGAGATGCACATCCTCCTTCCTAGCTGTACCCTCTCACCTCTCCACCTTCTTCTAGCACACACCTAGGAGGGAAGCATGAACTGGCACAATAAAATGCTCTTGTGCAGTACAGTGAAAGAGTAAAAGCCTTCAGAGATCAGAGGAAAGAAACCTGGGAGAACTGTGGGGCTTAGGCATCAATCTCTTGCAATATGACACATCAGCATGAACATAAAGAGAGCCAAAGGATTGGTGTCCTTTGATTCACTTGGCTTAATCTGTTTACTAATTGCAGGTACCATCATGATGATGGTCATACATTGCATTAGAATAGAAGAAGGTTAAGTTCATGCTGAGTCTTCTGGAGAGAAGCAGATGAATCCCATTTCAAACAGGCATTGATCATCACTGCCATCCTCAGAATGTTAACTAAAGGGCTACATGAAATATGCCAGAAGACAATCGATAGTCCCCTGTCCTGCTGCACTGAGCTGAGGAGAAAAGAGCTGGGGGGCGGGGGGAGGTGGAAAAGGGCAAGGAGGATGAGTCTGCACCAGTGTTTGGGAGATGAACAAATAAGAAATGGAAAAGCTGAGCCCGAGAGCAAAGAAGAAACTCAGAGCACAGGATAGACAACTTTGGAAGGGCAGAAACAAAAGAATGAGAGTGTGAGGGCATCCAACTCCCCCTCCATTCAAACCAGAGCTGCTGCTTTTTATGCATCTGTGCGTTTGATTTAGAAAGAGCAGCCTGAGGGGGGACTGTTGTGAACTAATGACTCTGGGGAGGCCTGTGGCCCGCTGTGCTAATATTTACTGATATCCCCAGCAGATTAGGTGCCCTGATGTTAGAATAGCTGTCTATATGCAAAGTCACATCATTAGCATGTGTGCACAGGGCGAGGATCCAGCCCAAGCAGTCACTCTAAGCTACGCTCAAGGCTGGAGAGCCTGCAAACACGACTGCTACAACACACAACAGGCAATTATTCCTCCATGGATGGCCCAGAGGCCAGAGTGTCTATCACCTTCATAAACTACAGCTGAAGAGTTGGTGTAGAAGATGAGAGGAATAAGGAGTGGAGGGGAAGGGAGCAGGGGCTGAGCAGCAAGTTCTGTGCTCTAAACAGCTGGGAGGAAAGGAGACATTTAGGGTAACAGGAGGTATCAACTTTTATTATTCTCCTAGTTCTGACGAAGGGTTTAAGGTGCACCTTTCTTAAAATCTAGTTCCTGTCTTTCTCTTGTACATTTTCTGCCTTTATGCCTTTCCCCAGTGAATCCCTTTTGCAATCTCAAAATTGATTTCCTATGTGCTCCTTGCTATTTTTCAAAGCTCTCCTGGGTTAGCGACCCCCTTCCTTTTGCTCCCCAGTAACCCCACCAATGTACTTTTATTATGACATTCAATTCACCTGAGTAAAGTTTACTGATTCTGGGTCTTTCCACCCTGGATGTCTTATGTTAATAAATCTCATTTTTTCCCAGGCTATGATTACAAGTTCAGAAAGTTCTCATAGGCAAAACCATATTCCATTCATCTTTGCATCCCAGCACTTAGCTCAGTGCCTGGAGCAGGGTGATGCTGGATCTGCATGTTTTTAATTGATGTGAACAGAGTCAGTCCTAGATTCTCTTATCTCTGTCATCTAATAGCTTGTTGGGTTCATCACAGCTTCTTCATAACACATCTCTCTTCACTCCAAATCTCAGCTACTAATCGGTGGAACATGAGTCTAATCCTTTGTTCCCTTGGCTGTTGGACTAATATTGAACATGACCCTCAATTTCCCAAGCTAGTCTGAAGTGTATGCTTCTTATTATAACATTATTCTTCTCACTGAGTTCAATCATCAAACTTGTAGCTGTAAAAACTAAATTCTGAGATTTAAAACAGAAGAAATAATCTCATGTCTTCTTGTCCTAGTGCTTAGAAAATTCACATTAGTTTTTATATAATTGGGCAAAAGGACAGCTACGATGAAGTTATGTTTCTTTTCACTAGTGTTAGGGATTTGGAGCCATTGGACAATCTGGGAGTGGAAGGGAATATCAAAGCAGCTTGCCCGTGAGAAGGGACAGCTGCACCAAGACCTGCCCACTTTCACTCCACCCTGGACTTTCCAGCCCCAACTTTATTTGAAACAAATTTCAGAGTCTTTGGGCAATCTGAAATTGAGCTGAGTTAGCTGACTGATTCCTGGGACTTTCTCCTTAAGTGAGCCTACATCAGAATCTTCTACTTCTAATAGAACCACTACTACCTTATGTTCAGTTCAAATCACAACTGCATATTGAACCTTCTTGTAGATCCCTCCAGTCAATGGAGAGCTGGTATTATGGTTTGAATTTGAACTTTACCCAAAGGTTCATGTGTTTGAACACATGGGCCCCTGCTGGTGGCCCTATTGGGAGAGCCATGAAACCTTCAGGAGGGGGAACCCATCTGATGGAAGTATATCACTAGGGACAGGCCCATGAAGGTCACAGCTTAGCCCTGATTCTGGCCTTGCTCTCTGATTTCTTTCTGATCTATCAATATGTGAACAAGCTAACGCCTCATGTTCCTGTTGTCACAGACTGAGTTGTTTCTCCCTACCTTCCCCTCCCCGATTGACTGGAACTCTCTGAAACCATGAGCCCTAATAACCCTTTCTGGCCATCAGATGGTTGCTGTTCTTCTTCCACATTTGAGATTCTTGTACTAACTCCTGTGTGGGGCTGGGACTTGAGGTGAATGAATACACTCACCTCCACCACACACAGTTGGCCCAAGAAGCCATCCAGTCGTACAAAGACCAAAGAGGGCTGGAAATCCCATTCTCTGACTTCCTCATTCTCTTTGAAGTAAGTGTAGAGATATTCCCTTCTATCCTGAAACACCTGTTTCAAGAAGCTTAAGGTGTCCGAGGCCACTTGCAGTTTTCTCTGACTTTCTTCCACCTCGCTTCTCAGGAGGTCTTCTGGGTTGAGGTAACTAGAGGCCTGGAATGCAAATAGATTAGTGTTCCCAAGTGTGGAAGCAAGTACAGATATCCCAAAGCAAGGAATATTTTTCATAGGAACAATAGAGAAAACTGACCAAGTTTTCAGTTCCACAGGTGGGTGTGAACCAGTGTTTAAGCTAAATAACTTTTGTGGTTTTTCAGTCATAATCATTTGAACCACATTGTGATTGGACAAGTGACCAATCAGAGACCAGAAAGGATCATGGTAGTTTACTGGACTAAGGCAGGTATTAATCCCCACATGTTCATCTGTGATTCATTAGCTTTGATAGAAAAGTAGTTTGAATACAAGCATTCTTTGGGCCATAATTATTTCTCTCTCTCCAAGAGATTTGAGCCTCTAAAACTGGGGAGCTAAAGCTACTGGATAGCCCCCTTCACCACCACTGGGAGCAGCAGAGAAAATTGGGTCTGGGTGGCATCATCTGAGGCCACAATGCAAGTCAGGGCTGAAGTCAACCTTGCCTTGCACATTCAAATCATAGGAGGCAATGAGTTTTCTCTGTTGATGCTTTATTTTGTTGTTTCTTTATACTTTCAAGAAAAGTCATCACTATTAGTGATGGCCACATGTGGGTCGGTGAGTCAAACAACCTGAATTTGGGTTTGATTTGGGTGTCCCTGGGTGAGTAGTCAACCTCCTGAGCCTCAACCTAGAACTTTAAATAAGTAATAATAAATACTGAACCCTTTCCCTGTCCCCTCAAACTTCATCTGATAATGACTGGGATTACGAATGTAATACATTGTGTAGCCCCAACATGATCCATGGATGTCAGTTACTATGAATCAGTCTGTGAGTTTGCTTGTTATTTGCTTAGTGTTGTCAGTTCTTAGAGGCAAAAGAAGTCAATATGGAGGGAAGGTCATCCAAACCAAGGCCTTGAGTTCCATTTACAGATGCACTTCTTAAGGTTTATGCTGTCCTAGAAAGTTTTACAAGAGTCTTCGATGAGGAGGCAAAGCTGGTATGATGGCACACGGCTATAATCCCAGCAAAGCTGGTGTGATGACACATGCCTATAATCCCACCTGCTTGGGATAGTGAGGCAGGAGGTTTGGAAGTTTCAGACTAGCCTGGGAAACTTAATGAGATCTTATCTCAAAATAAAACTTTAAAATGAGCAAATATGTAGATCAGTAGTAGGGAGCTGACTGAACAGACGCAAGGGCTTTGGGTTCAATATGTGCAAAAAACAAACAAAACCGCACCCACAAAGAAACAAAAAGAAGGCACAATTTGTTTGCCATCTAGGAAGCAGAATCTCCATAGTACACAAGTATAGAGCTTTGGCTATGTGCAGGGCACAAGGGTCACCAACATCACTGCACTGAAACCTCCTAGTTACCCAGCACCCCTCTGAAATGGCTTTCCCTGCACCACTGTAATAGGCAGAATGAAACACAGAGCAGGAAAGTGGTTTGCCCTAGCACACACAGCTCACAAATGGTGTAGCCAGGGTTTGGAACAGAGACCCTTGACTGCAGAGGCTGCATTCTTAATTGCTAAGCTTTGTTGTTGACGTAATACCAATCCCTCACACAGATCATGGAGGAGGTTGCAATTTACTAACCTTGCCCTTTGCCCCACTCAGGCTCAGGTAGAGAGTTAAGAAAGACTGAACCACTCCAGTATGTCCACATTTCCAAAAACCTGTTTGTGAATCACTAGCTTGTGAAAGCACAAAATCCAAGTGTGATCACTCTTTGGGCCATAATTACTTCCATGCCCAGGGAAAGGTGCAGCACTTTACTCTTTGATGTGGTTGCCAATCAGTCTCTGGGGAGAGGTTGCTGTGAAGTGCAGAAGAGCTCACCTGTTGGATGAGGAGGTTGCAGATTTCCTGGAGCAGGACCGTGAGCCTCCCTGGAGAGCGGTAGCATTTGCAATTGGCCCAAATCAGACAGACCACGTGAAGTAGAGGCAGCAGCCTGGCTTTCACCTCAGGAAACTCCAGGCTCTCCAGAGCATCCAGGTGTTGGTGGAGTGGTAACAGGTGTACATGAATATCCTGGGCCTCTGTCAGAGCTGGAAGGAATCGGGGAGGTCATCCCTGCTGGGATACCACCCACCCGGTACAGCCCTAGTGTCTGGTAAGTGAAGGGTCAGCAGAGCTGTGATTGCAATTTCTTCCTGATCTGAGAAGGGGAGGGAAGGTGATTCCAGATAGCTTTCTGGCTTTTCTGCAAAAAACATCAAAATCTGGAGCACTCTGACAAACTAGAATGATGGAAGTTCTCTCTGACATTCCTCTGTCATGACTTCTCCCTGGCTTCCTCAGCCCCAGTCTGGTGCTCTGTTTTAGTAGACCCTTCCCTTGATAAATGTTTGCTGATTATGTTGATGTTGATATCACAAAGGTAACACAGACACAGATGATGAGACAAGTTTAAGAAGCAGAAAGCTAAACAGAAAGATATAGAAGAAGGAGCAGAAAGATGTGCCTTCAAATGCTTCAGGCACTTTGACCACCTGTAAGCTTCAAAAGTGGGCTTATCTGGAGGTAATTTCAAGAGTCCTTGAGGAAATAGAAGGCAGTGTAAATGGAATCCTCACAAATAACAGTACCATGGTTGGGCCACAGCATACATTGAGTAAGTAGGGGTGCTTTCGATGAGTATTTGTTAATCAAAACTCATGAGTTTTTACAGAGGAGAAGTCATGGGGAATAGAGGAATAGCATGGCCTGGTGATGGCAAGGTTCTGCTGATTTTCAAGGCCAGGACACTGTCCTCCCACCTCCACTGAACACAGGTCCAAGAGAGGAGCCTTAACCAGTCACCTTGAGGTGTCTGAGAGGGGAAAGGGGGGAACTCTGTGGCACTGACATCTGCATAGCAACTCAGAGCCTTTGTGTAAGCTGGATAGAAGGGAGCATCTGCAGGTCTCTCCTGGGCAGATAACCAGGTGGTGTCTATGAGAACAGATGGTCTTGGGTTATATTATGCCAGTGAGGCCCTGAGTTCATCCTAAAGGAAATTCAAAATATCCCTGATTTAGCAAGCGGTTCCAATATATCAGTAATTTTTCTACCACCAGACATATACTATCTCGAAAGCCTAAGTAACCCACCTAGGCTCACTGTGTGAGTGGGTCAGTCCTTTCCAACTGAACAAAAGGAAAGTATTTTTCTGAACCTCTGGTTAAATAGCTGTGAGGTTCAAGAGACACGGGGATGTGTAGATGTGGATGTTTGTACCTTATATTACCAATGGGTTTGTGGGAAGCACTATGTGATTAGGAAGTCAAATACCGTGGTACATTTATTATTATAAGAGCATTAATTCTTTTGTTGGAGGCCAATGTCAAGTATTAGCACCACTGAGTTGGGGCAGAGGGCTTTAATGTCCAACATCCATTCTACAGAGCACATGTTCTGGCTTATCATGTGCTGTGAGGGAGAAGAAGCTGGGAAATTTTTCTTTATAACACTCTGTTTTCAAAGCCTTTAAAAATCCTAGATCTTCTTTTATTATACAACTGGGCATGACTTTGATATTTTGAAGGCTGTAATATTTGAGAACACAGGAGTTGCCCTCTAGTTCAAGCAAGGAGCTCCAGTGTGGGTAATGTGGGTATGCTTGAGAATTAACATATCAAAGTGCTGAAAGGCAAGGTGGTGCCCCATCTCTATTGGACACAGAGGAGATTGAGAACACAAGACCTTAATGAATGAATGAGGTATTCTACAACTAGGAATAAAAAGGCCAAATGCTTTGTTAAGATTAGGATGGAGCCAAGTGTGTACTTCCTCAGCTGAAACTGGAGAAGTCTTTTTGAATAAAATTATGGGTGGGGCTGGACTCAGGATATAGTTCCAGAGATAGAGTGCCAACAAAATAGTTCCATCAGTGGAGTTCCAGGAAATAGACCATTCCAAGAAATACCTGGGGGAACAAAAGTCCTCTGAGTCCACTCCCACTCTTAAAAACTAAATTTAAGGGACAGGCTTTTATTTGTTCAAGTGCTCATAATGTTGGAACAGTAACACTGGACATGTTCAAAATATGCACCATCACTGAGCTGTACCTCTAGCCTCGTTATTTTATTTTCTGTGTATATGTGGTATATGCACATGAGTGTGTGGGTATGCACCTACAGGCTCATGCATACAGAGGCCAGAACAGGATATCTGCTATCTTTCTCTAGAGCTTTCTGAATTATTACCTTGAGACAGGGTTTCTTACTGGACTGGTACTTTGGTGAGCCTGACTAGTCAGCAAGCTCCTGGGATCTGCCTGTCTCTGCCCCACAGAGGTGGATTTACATGCATGCTGGAGAGTCGAACATATGTCCTCATGTTTAGCATGCAAGTGCTCTTACCCACTGAATTATCTCCCCAGCCAGTCATTGTTTTTGAATTTTCTGTTTCCTGTTATTTGATTATACTTATTTATATTTTAGATCCCCATTAGTTGAACCATTAGATATGGAGGGCTGATAGGGATGTACAGTCATTTGCTGGTAAATCTCTACTAAATTCTAGGGACAAATGCCTTTATGTGTCAGTGTGCTCATCTCTGTGGTGTATTGCCAGCACCTCCACTACGTCCAGTGGAGCTTCAGCTTAAGCTTCACCAAGTGCTTCTTGGAGAACAGGGGTGGGAAAGTGAGAAAGGAATATGTATGGGGAGCGAACCAGTCCTCACTAGCTCCAGAATAGCACAGGGCACAGCCTTCTTTCCCACATAGTCTACCTACAAAATCCTTGGTTGAGGCTGTGACTTGACTGTGTCTCCTCTAAAGTTCAAGTATTGAAAATTAATGACCAACATGAAGTATTAAACAACAAAGCTGTTAAGGGTTACCGGGCCATGAAGTCTCCTCCCTTTTGACTAGGATTAAAAGGCTTCTGATTGGCTCTGATAGCTTGCCTTCCACTGCTACATATGAAGACAGCGTGCCTCCCCTGAGAGGATGCAGCCACAAGTGTTATCATGGAAACAGACAGCAGCCCTTACAGACAACTGAACCTCCTTGGTCATAATCTTGGTCTTTCTAACCTTCAAAATAGTGAGGAATAAATGACCCAGTCTGTGCTGTCTGTTAGAGCAGCACAGATGCACCAAGACAATTGGCAAGCAGGTTGTTCTGTGCCCATCATTCTAGCTAATGGCCAGGAATGGGCCTCCCTAGCTGGACTTTACTGCCCTCAAGGAGATGGTCACTTCCGCTTTCTGTTTTCATTTTCCAATCAGTTCCACTTGCAACAATCTTGTCACCACCCTTCCTCTATCCTTTTAACTTCCTCTTTACTCCTTAGTTCTCAGTTCATGCTCACATGCCAGAGATATTTTTTCTTATCTCTCTCATGAGTCCATAATGAGCCAATGAACTGCCCTGACTCTGACTAATAAGAATAATGCACATACTGTGTCTATTCGGGATAAAGAAAGCCAGATGTTCTGAAATTAGATTAGAAACGAATAAAACCAATCAATAGCCTTTAAAATCTTTTTATTATTGTACACTGTGCCAAATTTCTGACCAGGTCTCTATCTAACACCTCTAATCATATTTTCTTTTTTTTTTCCCATCCTAGGAATTGAATTACATGTTTAAAGGATTTCTGCTATTACAGTAGCATGTATTTGATACTATTATAGTGCTATTTTTTCAATTATTACTGTCAGTATATACTCTACCAGAAAGAAAGTATTTTTCTTAAAACTGACCTAGGGAAACAAATCCTTGCCAACCAATAATGTATGCGAGCAATTAGCTTTTTAATCTACTAGTGTGATAAATATATGTGGGCACTGAATGACCGACTCATAACACCATAACTACATGTAGTTTTATTTCAGAGTTCCAAATGTTAGATATTTGGACATTTCTGTTATATATGTCTATGTGTGTCTATGTATAGCTTGTAGTATTGTTCCCCTAATATTCCTTTAAATTTATTCTCATGTTAACCTAAATAAAGTTACAGTTGTCCCTTAGTACCCTGGAGTTTCACGACCCCCCCCCCCATAGATATCAGTTGAAGTCCCTGATATAAAAGGGGAAGGAATTTGTTTATAGCATAAACACACACTTCTGTATGCTTTCTTGTCTTGAGATGGACTTTTATATGTAGTCAAGTATGGCTTCAAACTTGAGATCCTCCTGCCTCAGCCTCCTAGATGCTGGTATTTGCAGGTGTGCACCACCATGCCTAGCTCTTCTTTATAGTTGAAATCACCTCTAGACCACTTACATTACCTAATACAATATAAATGTTATGTAAAAAGTTGTACAACATGCTGTTTAGGAAATAATTAAAAAGAAGTCTGTTCATGTTCAGTATGGACAAAATTAAAAGCAAAAGTCCCTTTGGCACTATAATTGTTTGAGTCTATGAATACAGAACCCATAGATATGGAGGGCTGGCTGTATTGTATATAAAATGAAAACCTAAAATTTCAACTCCAAATGAAAAACTGGCATTAATCTGCCCAAACAGCACCCTTTAAAGGCATTTTGCAAAATACCTGTCCACACATCTCCAACAGGCATTCCTCAAATCAAAAATGGTATAACATACCACTTTGGGGGCAGCTATGTATTTCAACTTAAGTGTATACTGGGAACAAGCTTTCTTGGAGAAGCAGCAAGCAGAGGCTTCAAAAGACACCGAGTTCCAAGTCAGTTTTATCTGCTGGCACCTCACAACATGGGGGCCCAAGAAAAGCCCAGGGCTGTTTCTGTCAGTCTTTCTTTGTGATATAGCTCATGCCAGAAGCCCCATCACTGAAGCTGGATTTGCTGACCCATGCCTGAACTTGAGAGTCTGAGGCAGGAGAATCTTGAGTTCAAGACCAGCCTGGGCTACATGGTGAGTTCAAGGCCAGCCTGGGCCACAATGACAAGATGCTATCTCAAAAACCAAACAGAAACAAAAATACCTCCCCCCACATACACCATAAAACAAAACCAATCAAAAAACCAAACCAAAACAAACAAAAAAGAAGACAGCGATACCCAGTCACTAACACTTTCATTCCATCACTTTTATTCCCCAGGACAGGAGGTGGGTGAGGGTGTGAAATGAACACAGCTCAGTGAGTGCACGCGCTGCATGCAGGATGCTGCCTTCATTCACAGAGCAAGCAAACCTTGATTAGTTTTGTACTTTGAACATAGCATTGAAAGAAAGCTCTGGAAGAAGAAACATATTTGAAAAAAATCACTGTTTAGGTTAAGCTTAATTTATGAGAAATTGAAAATACCTTTAAAAGCACATTTTAGCCCACAGTACTAAGAAGAGGGAGGAACTACAGTAGGAAAGCAGGGGTGGGGCAGGGTGGCTAGGAGATGGGGGTGGGCAAAGTGGACCAATGATAGGAGGGGGGATTCTAAAAATGTACCTTCTTCTAGTCACAGACTTTGCTGGCTTTGCAGTTTTGACAAAGGCTGATCTTGTCTGTACTCGGGGGACAGGAAATTACAGTCCCATTCAACTGAATGAACAGAGAAGGCAGGAAGAAGCTAGAAACGGAATGGAGAATCTTAAGAGTGTAGGGACCTGAAATCCAGAGGTGAGAGGTCACAGTACTCTTTCTAAGCATAAGTGGTGTGCTAAGAGCATTCTTCCATCTAGATTACCTCACAAGGGCTACTGTGGGCGGGAAGCAGGCATACCAAAGTCCTTACACTACAGAGAGGTTGCATGGTTTGGGCAAGGTCACAAAGCAGCTGGACCTCAAACACAGTGGAGAGTTAACGGCCGCTTCTAGATTCCTTCTGTCATGCTGTATCGTGTCAAGTAAGGAGGGAATAAGGACTTGAAAATGATGAAGTCACAGAGGGAAGTAAATACGGTGCTAAACGAAACTTTGAGTCAATAGATTTGGGGAACCGCTTGCTGGTCCTCACCTGCTACAACGTCTCTGCACATGGTTTTGAAAGCTGGCAGGTAGCTGCTCTGAAGTTTGTCCAGGAGTCCAGCCATGCCCTTCACCTTCACTGTCCTCAGTTGATTATAGATGTGTTCGAGATCCTCATACCTGCAATACCATGAAGAAGGAAGAAGGGGGAACCCAAGTGAACAAGCATCAAGCATCAGGAAATGCAAATCACACTGTGACACCCCTCTTTCAAGCAGGCAGAAGGGAGCCCAGCCTTAGGTGGCTCCATAGACTGGGCTCTAGCTCCCAGGAGCCCAAACATCTTTTCCAAAACAGTGATCACAAAAGCCTGAGTCAGGAACACAAGTTCAAAGGCAGCAGCTGCAGGAAACACTGCTGTGACCATCTGGTGGCCCAAGAGCTTGGCAGCTGGAGGTCATTAGCTCTTGCAGCAAGGTTGGGGGAGGGAGAGAGGAGTGTTGTTGGATCTAGGCTGCTTGAGAAGGGCCTCACCCTAATTCAGCAAATGGGCAGAAACCGGGCAAGAGCACAGCCATCTCAGGAAAGTGGTGCAAATAGGGCTGGAGCTCTTCAAGCAGGCCTGGTCACATGAAGTGACACTATGTTCCATAGAAGGTCAGGGACATCTGCCTCTTACATATATCTGTCTTCTCCAGAAAGGATTCACCAGCATAATGATACATGGGAGCTAGGACATGGGGAGGAGGACAGGAAATAGTCAGAAGCAGTAAGGAGGGCTTTCTAGTCACCCCATGGGACTGAGGCACAGCAGATGCTGAGACTTAGGAGAGGCAGCTCTACAGCCAAAGTCCAAGCGTCCTTCTTTTTTATCTGATCCTTACAGAAGATCTGTGCATCTAGCCTTGACTGTCCCAGAAAAGGGGGCTACAAATTAGAATAAAAGTATTAAAATTATATATGTGTGTTTGAAAGATCCTTTGATGAACTGAAAGAAAGAGTGACTCCTGAGCCTTAGGGGAAGAATGTGTCTCCCACTCCACAAAAATAAACTGTACTGACCCCAAAACAACAAGTTGTGTACCCCAGGGAGGATGAGAAACACCTGGAGGGAGGGACCATAGCCAATGGTGGCTCCACCAGGCCAGCTCTGGCTTTCTCCTCTTTAAGACGCCTCCCCAGAATTCTGACATGTGCCTCCCTGCCTACCTGCTCTTCCAGAATTCCAGCTCCACCCTGGGGGTGGGATTCTCCCCTTGTAAGAGCAGCTGAGAAGACTCTCTCTTGAGTACCACCTGGACTTGGTGGCTCCATTTGATCACTGTAGACTCAATGGCATAGACAACTGACTTATCTACAGAATCCAAGCTGCAAAGACAAAAGACATTTCCCAATACATGTGGAAAGAATTTAAGCCTGGGTGTATTTGTCTGTCTTCTATTGTTATCACCAAATTCCTGAGGCTGGAAACTTACAAAGAAATTCATTTAGTTCAAAGTTTGGGAGGCTGGGAGTCCAAGGTCAAGTATTTCCATTTATTTGACATCTAGTACGTGCACATGGTGGATGGTATTGTGGTGGGAATATATGCCTGAAGATTCACGTGGCAACACAAGAAGCCGGAGAGCAGGGAGGGGCTCACCTTGCCCTTTTATATCAGACTGCACTGGAGTGAACTAAGTGCGGTCCCACAAGATTTGCATTAACCTTTTCTCAGAGCAGTGCTCCCAGTGAGATAATTGTCTTGCACTAAGCTCCAAGTCTTAAAGGTTCCATCGCCTCCCAACCGCGGAACACCCAGCTCCAAACAAAGCACAAACCCTTAGGGAACAAACTCAAACCACAGTCAAACCATATGCCTGTGTGTCCTCTCAAATAGAACCCCAAGTCTTTTAAAAGTTGATGGACAATTCCACCTAATCTGTGAATTCTTTTTTTGTTCAAATTGTGTGTGTTTGGGGGGTGGTATGTACATGTTCATGTAGATTGCAAACACATGTATGAGAGGCAGAGGTTGACATTCAGTGTTTTCTTTGATTACTTTCTAATTTATTTTTTGAGACAGTGTCTCTCACTGAGCCTGGAGCTCATCAGTTCATCTAGGCTAGCTGGCTAATGGCCTCCAAGAATCTTCCTGTCTCTGCCCAACCACCCCCAGTTGGGTGCTGGAGATCTGACAGGTATTTTACTGACTGAATCATCTCCCTGGCCCCCTAACCTGTGAATTCTTAACTTTTTTTTTCTAGTAATAGACCCTCATGGGTAAGTTAGTGAAGTGTAAGACCCTTTTCCCAGGAAGCATACTTATTCTTGTGTGTATACAGCATTACTCATTCAGAGCCAAGGGTCATCAACATTCTTAAGAATACTTTAAGAACTTTTAATGGCATCCAATCTTTTGTCAGTGCAGGAACACTTGGATGGAAAACATTCAGATAATCACCCAACCGTTGCTTGAATTTCCTCATAAAGGTCAAGCTCCCTAATAACACAGCAGAATGGTTCTTTCAGGGAGAACCTCTCTCTATATACAAGCAACATGTACTTCCCTGGGATTGCCTCAGTTTGCTGTTAGTTCTTACTCTGTAGCAAGAGCAAATAGGTTACTACTTCTTTCACCAGACAAAGTAATAGCTCTCTGAATACCACTATGATAATTACATTTTGTCTTCAGATTTCAATCCAATGAAGAATTGACTTTCCAAGCATTCCCCCTAAAGCATATTGTTTTGTTTTAAATAGCTTAAATATGCTTTAAAGAAATTAAAAATATAAACTAGGACCCTTGGGGTGGGTTGGTGGCTAAACAGGTTTGTGACACAGTCTGACAACCCAGGTTTGATCACTGGAAGCCAGATGGTTGAAGGAGAAGAGCCAACTCCTGAAATGTGTTCCTCTGACCTCTACATGTATGCCATGGCATATCCTCCACCCCCTCTACATACAATAATAACATAATTCTAAATTTTTAAAATTTAAATTAAAAATTAGCTGCTCTTCAGAGTCTTAGCTGATAGAGCACAGTGTCAGAGAAAGGAAATATATAGTTCATATTTTCACATTGGGAACACACATTCATATAGGTTAAAATTTGTATTTGTTCCAAAATGATAAGGCACAAGTGATTATGAAAGGCATTAAAGGGAGAAAATGCTCACTTCCCTCCAAATGATTCAGCCTTTGGGGAAATTATCAAATTTGAACAAAAGGAGACAAACTCAGCAAGAATCTATACACATAAACTGAATGTTATTAAGTTAGAGTATAAAGGGACCAGAAAAAAGGGGAACTTAATTGCATTTATTTTGAAAATTTGATACTTTTATTAAATCACAATGTTTTCTAGTTAACTGTGATATTATTTCAAATTATATATACATATCAAATCATTTCTTGTAGAAAAATTCATTATGCAGTGTGTGCATTGAACTTGCCTGCATTATCAATTTTTCAGAAACATCATAACTCATGAATAAACACAATGATAGTCATATACTGAGAGACCCCTGGCAATATGGCAGACCATGCTCATGCATGAAGGCCACCTGTTATATAAATGCTGGATATTTCTATAACATACATTTATATATGTATATAAATAATATTTATATACATAGCCAAGCTTGAAATGCAAAAATTTACTAGAAACAGAAACAAAGAACTCAAAGCTTGCATAGTGAGTGGAAGCATGAAGTTGACCAGCAGAAGAGCTGGCATGGTGACCCAGGTCCATTGCTCCAGCAGTGGGGAGTCTGAGGCCAGTTTGGGCTTTATAGTAAGTTCAAGGGCATCTTGGGCAGCAGAGTGAGAACCTGTCTCAAATAGATAGAAACAATAAAAATAAAAGGAGGTGGGGTTTAAATGCTCATTCAGTGGCAGGAGGAACTGACTCCCAAGTGGAGTAGGAATTGTTCCTATTTGGGGAAAAAAAATCCCTGGTATCTGACAGAAGCCTGTAGCCGCTGTAAGAGAGGCTGGAACTGTAACAAGAATCCCAAGATAGTTCTGTGACACTGTGTACTGGGGCACATGGGTAAGAAGTGCATTGCCACTGTATTAGGTCAGCAATAAGCCATATCCTGAGAAGAACACTGAGATGGCCATGGCTGCTCTCAGTCCTGAAATGACTGTGTGTGGAAAAAGGCCACTTTGCTGAGAGAACCTTAGGAGACCTCAAGCAGTTGGGCCAGGACAAGGGACATAATCAGTGTGAACATGCACTTGGGTGGGTGGTGGCAAACAGAGCTGGCAGTGGGCTTGAGTGTGGAAAGAGATGTGCATAGTCAGGAACAGAAAAACCACAGGAAGAAACAGTCAGATAAACCAACTTCCATCCCATCCTCAAGGGATGGTCTACAGGCTGGTGGTACTTACACTGGCTCATTTCGGCAGTCAATGAACTCCATTTTTTCTGTGCCAACTGGAAGAGGCAGTAAGGTTCTTCCCTTTGCATGCTCAAGGATTACCAGGAGGCCACACTGCAAGGCGTGGGAGTGGTGTCTGATGTCCTGACATACCATGTGGGGCCAATCTAGATGGTTCTTCTCATTGGCTAAGACAGGTATAATGACCTATAACAGAGGTGCATGGAAAAAGCAAGAGCACTGGAAGTTCAAGCCAGCCTGGGTTCAAAAGAAAGAAAACATGAGCTTGAACGACCCACCTTTAATGAGTGGATAGCAGCACTCCTAGAAGTCATAGGTTATTAACCCAAAAAACTGTGTGCCATGTGTGGGACACCTGCCTATGAGTTATTAGCTAGGGAGCCCCCAAAGGCTCCACAAACAATTCAGACTACTGCCACTGCTCCTGGCTGCCCACAGGAACTACACAGGGAGACCCTATTGCTGAAGAGAACACACACTTTGGATATAGGACACAGAAATCAAGCTGGAATTGTGCTGGATGCTTCCTCCATGCAAATCAGCAGTCATAGTGATAGACAGTGCTATGCAAACTGCTGAAGGAGAAAAGTCATCGACAGTTTAACCCAGTGGTAGACCCTGAGTATCACAATACTGAACTGCCAGACAAGATATGTCCATAGATGCAACAATGACATGATTGTTCTGGGGGTAACCAAGGGCTTCCTTGTTGAATCTGAGGCCCACATCATAGGAGGAAAACTCTCCTACTGATGTTTTGCTAAATAGGAATGTAGTTCAACTGCCTTCTAAATACCCACAGATCGGTGCAGCTGTCAGTCTTAGGCAGAGAAACCTCTTTTGACAGTGGGCAATGGTCAAATCAGAGACTCATAACCTGTCAAAGTGCTGAGAATATCTGTATCACCTGCTGGAGATCCAGGGAACACTGTGGAAGAGGGGGTTGCAGCAAACCAGAGGTTAGAGAATAGTACTGTAAATTCTGTCATCTGGATATGACATGGCCCTGGTAGTCATGAACACACAGCAGCTGTGACCACCTGTACATGCAGACACATACACACACACAAACACAGACATGATAGTAGGAAGGGGACTAGTTTGGAAGAAGAAGGGGGTCAGCAAGAATGGGAGAGGGACAAGAGATGATAATGGAAAGGAATATGATAATAATACACTATTTACAAGTAAGAAACCATCAAAAATTAAATCATGAAATTTGCAGACAGTCATCAAAGAAGTTTCTTATTGCAACAGATGGAGACTATAATAGAGTTCCACAGCTGGTCAAACACAGAGAATAAGAGTCTATGTGATGCCCATTCCTTCGTGACACATCTACAGTAGAACCTCTACACCTAAGGCTCATGGAACAAGAAGAAGAGGGGGCAGAGAGAATATTGATGCATCTCTCAACTCTCACCACTGAAGCTTCCTCACGCAGCACATGGCGACTAACTCAGAAAACCACAACTGGCCAAAATATAGAGAATAAGGGACTGCGGAATGTGTGTCTCTGGATATGACTCCTATATTAAACCGCAGCCACACAGGGCTTAGAGAAAATTGCAAAAGAGGGGGTGGAAAAACTGGAAAAGCCAGGTGTGTTTGACCACAAGGAAACAGTTTTCTAGGCAGCTGAGAGCTTGCTCATATGAGCTTACATAATGGTGACAGCATGCACAAGACCATGCAAACTCAAGCAGACAAAAACCCAGGACAGAACTAAGGAAATGGGCAAGAAGCCACAACTTTAGCTGAGGAATTGTTGGTAACAGATCACTGCTAGGTAAGGGAGAGCTGGTCTTCTTTAAGGGAGTGGCACTAGATAGGCTGACTAGGCTCCATTGGATGAACTTACACCAAGGGACATCTGGGGACACAAAATGGGCTTGATAAACCTTAACCTATATGAGAGAATGCATGGAATCCAGTGGGAAGACTATGGGGGAGTGTAGATAGGGGATGGGGTCTAAATATGATTAAGAAGTATTGCATGAAATGTGCAAAAATTCAATAAAAGTACATATTGAAGAAAAATTAAGAAGCTAAAAAGAAGACAAAGAGAGAATGGATAGAAGTTGGGATGGAAAAGTGAAAGGAAGGGAGAGAAAGAGGGATCATTCTGAGAGATCCATACACACCTTTCTGCAGGTCACTGTATTCCAAGGCCTAAGAAAAGGTACAGCGTCACAAGTTGTGTTGACTGCAGGAAAATCAGGAGAGCCTCCAATAGGCTTCCTACAGTTTTCCTCTCCATTCTGCTCCTTGGAGAAGGTCCCCTATCCTAACTGTCCTTCTCACCAAGAGAGGCCACAGTGCCAGCTTATCCCTCAATGGCAGCTTTCAATTCCTTGCCAGCCTTGGAATTATTCAGACAAGCCAATCACATTCTCCCACAGGCACCAGGGCACACCACTCCCTCTTGGTACTACAAAGTGTGCCTCCCACAGCCCCTGGTTCACTCAGTTCGCAAGAACAGCTGTGTATTATCCAGTGTGGTACTGTGCCCTCCTCTTCTCACTGTGAGATGTGACTAATAAACATGGTCCATGCCGTCTGCTCTGTTGGGTGTTGTTCATTCAGCTGTCTCCATTAACGTGGAGTAACAATCCTTCCTTCATCAGCAAAGTGAATAGGAACTGTCCAAAATGATGACAAAGGTCAGAAAAGGGGTGGGGGAATAAGCACAGGTAAAAATGACCATTCGCCCTATGGGTATGTGAAGAGGCATTTTAAAACAGCAGCCAAATTGAGGATCTTGACTCCATCTTTAGTGAAAACGAGATGATTTGGGCTGCCCAACACAGTTCTCCTTTTGGGGCCCTTTCCTACATTGAGAAGTGGACCCAGAGCCCAATATGAGGCAGTGAGAGTCAGGCCCAAGTTGTTCTCCCAACATTTCAAGGAAGAGAAAGCTGATCTTTTGCAGTAGCCTGGAGCTTTGGGAGAAATCACCTTATTCCCAGAGGGAGGTTTAGAACAAAGTCATCATAGAGCAGAGATAATTCACAGGGGAAGAGGGACCAAGTGACTGAGCTCTGAATTGGGCTGCTCTTGAAGTTTCAGAGTTATTTTAAATTGAGTTTCTATCACTCGGAACTTGAAAAGTACAGCTCACTAGGAGCCACTGCCTGCTACAATACCACTAACATAATGGAACTGCTAGACAGATGGCTGATACAAGAGTCAGGTAATACAATGAGGAAGTCACCCAGGAAATCAAAGAGGAAAAGCAGATCCAATGGCTGATGGGTAAGTCCTGGTGGTTGTAAAATAGAGGGTGGGCTCTGCCTGGTCTTTCTGAAAACGTTTGTTGAGCAGAGGACTAATAATGTGAACATAAAAAATAAACGCATACTAAATTCAATCACATTTATGTTGAGAAAAAAATTTTTGGACCCAGGGCAGAAGGCCAAACAAGGAAAGGGGGTAACCTGGAATTCCTAGGATCTTAAAGACAGAGACTGCATCTCAATTGATTCTTAAGTATTCACAGTCTTCCCTAGGGTCTGGCATCTTGGGAACATCTCCTAGTGGTTTATGAGTGTATGCTATCTGAAGAAAAGGTGGTGGGAGGTCTGGAGAGCTTTGAGGTACAGAATTTTCATAGTACACAAAATTTTAAAGTATGAAAGCTTTTAAAGTAAAAATAATTCTTCTACCTACCCCTGTACCTCTACCACTCAGCTCCCTAAATATGGATCTATGGATAACTTAGTGTATTCCTTCCCTTCCTCCTACCATCCTTCCTTCCTTCCTTCCTTCCTTCCTTCCTTCCTTCCGTCTCTGCCTCCTTTCTTCCCTCCCTCCATCTTTCCCTTTCTTCCTCTTTCTTCTCTCTCCCTTTCCTTTCCTACTTTCTCTAGGCAGGATATTTCTACTATACAGTCAAGGCTAGTCTCAAACTCATGACAGTCCTCCTGCTTCAGCTTTTCTAGAGCTGGGACAACATGTGTGTGCCACCAGGTCCAGCTCTCCTTTCTCTTTTTAATATAAATGGTAGCATGTCTCACTATAAATTCTGTACTTAAAAAAAAAGAATTACCATATTATTCACAATAGTCCAAGTAGAATCAACCTACATGTCCAAGAGAGATGAATCATGAGGACATTGACTCCACTGCATTGCTCCACTTCAGTGAGGTACCTAGAATAGTCACATTTATGGGGAAGATAGAAAGGTGTGTGACAGGGCAGGGACAAGGGGAGTTGTTTGGTGCATATAGCTTCAATCATGTTGAGTGAGGAGTTCTGGAGGTATATGTGCCTGACAATTTTTAGGAGGATGAATTTATGTCTTTTTTTTTCTTTCCTGCAAAAATTTTAAAAAATCGCTTTATGGATTATTCCATATGAATAATTATTTTGAACAACCCTATAATTTTCCACTGTTCCATAACTCATTCACATACTCCTTGATTGAATAATTCTGTTGCCAATCCAAAAAACTCAGGTGGGCATGGTGCCACAACCCCTGTAATCCTCGCCCTTGGGAGGTGGAGGCAGGAGGAGTGGGAGTTCAAAGTCATCCTTAGCTACACAGCAAATTAGAGGCCAGCCTGGGCTTCATGAGACTCTGTCTCAAAAAAGCCAAAAAATAATAAAGTTAGTTTTACAAAAAAATTTATTTATTTAAATTTATGCAGATATATGCATTAGTATGTGTACAACATGTGTGAGGACGAGAAGAAAGATTCAGTTCCCCTGGAGCTGATGATACAGGTGTTTATGGGCCACTCCACTTGGGTGCTGGGAACTGAATTCTGGTCTTCTGGAAGAATGGCAAGTGCCCTTAAACTACTGAGCCATTTCTCTAGCCTCTACAATTACTTCTGCTTGACATACTATTTTTCTGTAGGGGTCCTGAGATGGACCCAAGACCTCCACAAACACTAGTTTGTCTCTCATCTCTGAACCCTTTTTCATTCTGTATTCACACCTTGAAATTTACCTTGCTCTCTACCAATCCAGATTCTTTTACTTGCCCAGTAGTCAGTGCAACACTTGAAGCCAATCTAGCTTTTTAGATAACATGATTATCTTTCCTCTGAAGCAAATGACACTTTCTATCCTCCTTCAATGGGGGATGTGACCCAAGACTGAACTTCTATGGAGATGGTGTTCAGAGAGAGAACAGTGGTAAGACCATTCCACTTGCTAAAATGTTAAAATACCTATTTCTTCCCTGGCTTCTCTGGGCCCTGAGAACCTGCCCATCCATCTTTCCCTTCCTTGGAATTACCAACCCCTCCAACACAGTCTCCTGATACACCAACTAGGGGGCTAATATCAGATGTAGCAAGGAGCATGCAGGGCCTGGTTCTGATACTGGAAACAACTTTCAGGTAAGTTCTATCTCCCTTAATAAGTTTTAAATATTTTGAATACATGACTAAATGCATATATTTTGACTTTTTAAAGTAAGCATTTCATGGATGGGACCTCATAGTTTCCATGGAACCAATCATATGAAACATGACACAGACAAGGAGGGTCCCGTACACAGTTATTTCATAATCACTGGATGGAGAGTTGGCCAGCATTCAGAAGCACACGTGCCTAACTGGCCTAAAAGTTTTCTTCCACTGCAGAAGTCCTAGAGACCCAAGAATCTCTCCTGAGCACTGCTATAAAAGTCCTCTGAACTCCAGGGATACCCACCCCGCTTCTTCCTAGAGCTGGGTAGACCCTTTCAAATGTCTGGTGCTCATTTCCAAAAGGGCATCCAACTTTTTGTGGGCACAGGGTTGACCTTCGTCAAATGATTATATATTAAGTGAATTCGGTAGAAATATTAAATAAATTCGGTAAAAATCAAAGGCCAACCACCTCCCTCTAAACTCCTCTGCCAAGGTAAATACTGTTAATGATCCCCTCAGTTCCTTCCACCCAGCAGATCCATTGGAAGTACCTCCTAATCCTCCACTTCCTGTGTTGTGCCCTTCCCAATAAACAGAGATTAAGTACACTGCCTTACAATGTGCTCAGGTTTCGAACACTCTTCTCACTCCGGCCTCCCTGGGACTTTGGCTTGAATCCGAGCTTGGACTGACCAAAGGTGGTTCTCACTGTGGGTCGGCCCAAACCCAGACTTGCCCCAGTCTGTCAAACCTTACAGTTCACCCATGCCATCCGGGCCTCTTAGATGCCTTTTCCTGCTTTTCTAGTTCTGTCCTTCCACTCCCACTCAGGCTATGCTCCAACCAGCCCACTTCCTTCCAGAGGACTCCTGAACTGGGGTGCTCTAGTCGGCACCTCAGCCCTGGCCTGGGCCCTCTACCTATGACCCCGCCCCCTCGCCCTCCCCAGCAGCGTCGCCCCGCCTCCTTGGCCCTGACTCCGCCTCTCACTGCGCGCCCCCATCTCTCGCCCGAGTCTCAGGCAGCGCTGGGCCACCCTCCCACCCTCACCTCGGAGAACAGTGCGGCCAGATGCTGCAGAGGCGCCGCGGGCAGGTCCCCGCAGAGCACCGCGCCGCGGAGGCTGTGGGTTCCTGGAGGCTCGGACCTGGTGCGCAGGAAAAATAGCCCTTTAGCGCGAGCCAGGCCGGGCTCGGGTCCCGCGTCCAGCCCGGGTCGCAGCGCCAGGCCCCCGGGCCCAGGCTGCACCACCAGCAGCGGCCGCGGCCCCTCGGCAGCATCGCAGCCCAGGAAGGCCTGCAGCAGCCGCTCCGCCTCGGCGCTCCCTGCGCAGCTCTCCCAGGCGCCCGCGGCCGGCCGCAGGCTCCGAGCCACGTAGGTCCCCAGGAGTCGCAGCCTCGGGTCTGCGCCGGGCTCGTAGTCCGCGTTCTCCGAGGCCAGAGCGGCCTGCTCCTCGGCGCTCGGCATCCTGCGCGGCCTCGGGCTGCATCGGTTTCCCTAGTGACGGGAGACGCGACCTGGACGTCCCGCCTCTGCTCTCCGTCTATTGGGCACATGGCTCCTGGCTCGGCCCCCTCAGGCTGTTAAGGTAGGCGGGGGACAGCGGGAAGGGGCGGGGTCGCGTCTCTGTTGCTAGGAAACTGTGGGAGGCGCCCACTTGTTGGCTCCTCTGGTGCTCAGGGAGACTGGAAGGCAAAGACTTACAGGTCAGGTGTGTGTCGAAGGCCAGATTAAATTCTTCCGAGGTGTCCACACACAGAAAAGCACCTAATTAAAAGAGTTAAACCCAAACGCCAAACCGTAAAATAAATGTAAAATAGAAGTTGAACAAAGTTTCAAATTACTATTCCATGGTAGTAACTTGAATTTAAGACAATGATACCCTATGGAACTTTGCATAATGATGTTCTGTTCTCTTTCTGGATAGTCACTGGTGTGCTTACAGGAACATGAGATGTGCTGGCGACATGCAGGACTTAAATTTCTAATTTTATTTCATTTTAATTTAAAATTAAACGGACATTTGTGGTTAGTAATTATATTGGGCATCTTAGCTTCAAACTTCTGTTATCAATTATTCTTAAAGTTTTTCGAGTGATGCTTTGCCTATGCCTCAGGCGTGTGTTTTACGTTACTTAAAAGGGCAACCATGCTTCGAAATGCCAATGATTTCTGAGGGAGTGACTCCTATCAGCTCTTTACTGTAGCTCTTCTAAATAGGAAGGATGTGGGCCTGGAGAGATGGCTCAGCGGCTAAGAGCACTGACCGCTCTTGCAGAGGACCCGGTTCGATTCCCAGTATCCACATGGCAGCTGTGAACCGTCCTTAACTGCAGTCCAAGGGAATCCAACGCCCTCTTCCGACGTCTGCGGCATTGCACGACACGGGTGCACTCATATACATGGAGGCAATACACTTGCACACATAAAATAAAAATATTTTTTAAAAATAGGAAGGATGCTCAGTGCTCTCCGTCCTGTCCCGCATGGATTTGCCTTCCAAAAGGGATAATGTGACAAGCCTTTCCTGACTGCCTGGTCATCAACATTTCTCACTGACTGGATCCTTCTCCATGATTATTAGAACCGACATATTGGCCCTCTGCATGCACAGAAGATGAAAGTGTGTGGGTGCCAAGGAAATAGTTCAACATGAGGCCTGCTGGTCTACAAGATCACCCCTCTGTCCTTCCCCTCTGATTCTGTCACCTCCCAAGGGCCTGCAGGGTTTCTGAGTAAAGTGGATACTTACCATAGGCTTCAAAGGAATATTATCAAAGTCGCACTTATCAAAGGCAGCTTGGCTTAACAAGACCCCCTCAGGACAACACCAGTGGCTGGAAGATAAAAAGCAATTTCTCAATCTCTGGGACCCAGAGGTTGCTGTGTTAAAAATGTTCACATTAGAAAATGGATCTTTATGTCTGTAGAGCATTTTATCATTATTGCATTAAATAATAAGCAGACCAGTTATGAAGAAAGGGGCAAAATGGAACACTAAAATGATCCTTAAGATGAATTTGATAATTGATATTTCCAAAAAGGCATTAGGGAAAAGTGCAAATGTCAGAAGGATACATAAACACATGTATATATATATATATATATATAACAATTAGTTCCTTCCTTGCTAGGTTGATTCTTCCCTGCCTCCCTTCCTCCATCCCTCCCTCCCTCTCTCCTCCTTTCTTCCCTTCCTCCCTTCTTCCCTCTTACCCTCCTCCTTTCCTTTCTTCCCACAAGGAGATATCATTACTATTTTGGATTCCAAGAGTCTCCAGTGTGTTAATCTGCGTATGTTTTGTATGGAGTTAATTCAGGACCATTTACTTCCTATAAGCCCTTCAAATAAAATTTGTGCCACTCTTATCTTGGCTTTTCTTGTCCTTCATCTCTTTTGTTCTCATGCCTCAACATACATAAAAATAGAATGAATGAGGGGATGGGAGCTGGCTAAGTGGGTAAGAGCACTTGCTCTGCAAGCATGAAGATCTGAGTTGGAACCCCCAAAGCCCACAGGAAAAGCTGGGCAAGGCTGTAAATGCATGTAACCCCCAGCATTGGGGGACAAAGACAGGTGGATCCCAAGAGCTCACTGGCCAGTCAGCCTAATAGGTACAATAAGAACATTAAATATTGTATGAAAGAGATGTATATTTGCTCTAGAAACTGTTATTGAGTATGTTAAAGCTGTAATGAAATGCTTTGTCTAAAAAATTAAAAAATATTTAAAAAGTGTATTATCTATTGGTGTGCACACATTACCCCCAAACCTAGTAGCTTAAAGCAACAAAATCACTTATTATGCCACACAGTTTTCAGTAGGTGAGGAGTATAAGAACAACTTGCCTGGGTGGTTGTGGACTTGAGACTTTAATGATGGGGAAGGCAAAACCTCACTGGGGCTCCAGGCTCCATTAGTCAATCATGTGACGGCTTTCGCAGGTTTGGAAGAGCCACCTGCAAGATGGCACACTCTTATGGTTGGGAGCAGAGGCTTCAGTTTCCCAATATCCAGAACAGTCCCTTGGGCTCCTGAGTGTATCCTAACACTGCAGCTGGTCACAGACTAAGTCAGCTAGAATCAGACAGAAACCTCAATTCTTCTTCTTGTGACATGGTCTGGGAAGTCACTTGCCATTGTTTCTGTAGGAATGCTGTGAATTACGGAGGTCTGTTCCATTCCATGAAAGAGAGAACCATACAATGGTGTGGATACTTGGAGACAAGAAACACTGGAGGCTGGCAAAATGGCTCAGTAGCTAAAGGGGCTTGCTATATAAGCTTGGTGACCTGAATTAGATCCCAGGAACCCACATAAAGGTGGAAGGAGAGAACCAACTTCACAAAGTTGTTCTCTGGTTTCCATAATGTACTGTGGCACCGTGCCCCTCTCCTCCACAGTAATAATAAATAAAATTAAAAAGACAAAGAATCTTTGGGTGCCATCTTGAAGTGTGGCTAGATAAAAGCTATGGTGTTCAGATGAAATAATTTCCTTCTTACAATTAGAAGTGAACTTGTTTCAATTCAGTGTTAACATTCTTTATAAGCAGATGCTTTTGCTTGAAATAATAATACACAACCCCTATTTAAGAATCTGAATAATAATCTTTTGAATTTTGTAAATTTTTGTCAGTTCTTTGATTTTTGAACCAGATTCTTGCTATGAAGCTCAGACTGACTTTGAGCTATTGATTCTCCTGCCATACCCTCTAGAGTGATAGGGTTACAGACATAGGTCTCCATGTCTGATTTGATTTCTTTAAATGCTGATGTGACAACAAATGTAAGAAAGTTATTCACATAAACCAGCAATACAAAATTTAAAGTCATTTACCATTACTTAAAAATTAGCAGTTGAGGTTTTGCATATATAAATTCTAACAATTTTTTTTTATTTTTACTTCCTTGACTGCTACATTGAATTTCCTGTGATTCTATAATGAATCTTGATTTTAAATCAATCTATCCATATCAAGTATTTCAAAATAGCAATGAAGTACTGATTCCAAAAGCATGTGTACATTATTAGGTCAGTGTCCTTGCATCAATCATGGATGCTCCTGAGTGAGAGTGATAGACACAGATAGAGAGATGCACTGGATACATGTATAGAAAGAGTTTTAGAAACATACATAAGAATATTAATAGTTATATTGTCAATAATAGCAAAGATGACAGAATGCAAACCAAATATCTATCAATGGTAGAATGGATAAATAAGTTTATGTATAACTCATGAAAGAAAATACCATACAGTAGTGAAACTAAATGGATTAAGCATTATGCATCTACATGGATGAATCTTAAATATAGTGTTATCTTTATGAGAAGTTTTAAATGAAACATAGCAAACAGCATTCGTTTGAGGGTATATAAAGAAAAGTTAAGGAAGCCAAGTGACATGGCATATGTATATAATCCTAGCACTTAGGAGGTTGAGGTAGAAGAGTCACTATGAGTTTGAGCATATTGAGTCACTATGCTCCCTGAGCATATTGAGTTCAAGGTCATTCTGGACTATGTGGCAAGATCCTGACTCAAAAAACCAAAAGAAGGAAGGAATGAGAGAGGGAAAGAGGGAGGGAAGGGGGAGTGTGTGCTGTAAGACTTGAGACATGAGCAAACGTCTACTAAACCTAGATAGTGATCCACTTACAGATCAAAGTAATGATGTCCCTAAAGCTCAATTTGACAAACCAATGAGTTTATATGGGATTATTTACAGGAATGTGGACACTCAAAGGCAATTGTATCAGGTAAATCCCCACCCACCCCAGCATGAGTGAGGACTCAAAAAAGCTGCATCCCTGGAATTCTCTGCACAGTATGCATGTAGCTCCACAGGTCAAAGAGTCCCTGTTTTCCCAGCTATTGTTTACTGACTCTACAGCCTTAGTTGGGGCCTTGTGAATACTGCTAGTTTCATGAACTTCTTGAGACTGTGAGTTGTTTACTTCCTAAATCACATTCTTTCCTAGAGGGAATGTTTCAAGTAGGAGGAAATAGTTATATAGCAGGGAGGAGGGAGAGGGGGAGGAAGAAAAGCAAAGGCAGAGGGATAGAGAAAGATAGAATGGAGAAAGAGAGGCAGACATGATTATCATGACATTCAGATATTGATCACCAAAGATGCATGCATTGCTGAAGGATATATGAGCCTTTTCAATTTCTAGTAATTCCTCATTCTCTCCCAACCTTGCTCCCTTCCTCCTTCCGCTATCCCCTTGCCAGCCTCATGAGTGTTGTGATTACAGATGTACATCATCATGAACTGCTAATATTTGTTTATTTCTTGATCTGGCTTTCAGTTTACCATTCTTCCTAAACTTTACATGTGTTTATTTCTTTATGGACACTTATATAACTCATGATAAAAACAGTCTGGGGCTGGAGAGATGGTTCAGCAGTTAAGAACATGGGCTGTTCTTGCAGAGGCCCCAGATCCGATTTCCAACACTCACACAGTGGCTAACAGCATTCTGTAGCTCCAGTTCTGGGGGAATCAGATGCTCTCCATTGACCTCCGAGGGTGTTGCCTGGCACGGGTGCACTTACACACATGTAGGCAATG